AGGTTTTTAGAAAACCTGAACCTGCTGGTGCTTCAGCCTTTCTCAAGGAGCACTGACCACCTTCAAATCAGAGGACTCGAGCCACCTCAGAAGGGGATGAAAGCACGCAGGGTTGTAACTCTATATGATGAAAACATACATTGTTTAGACAAGATGATGAACATTTAAAAAACTTTCATCTCTAATCATATTTTATTTACAAACTAATCCTAACAATGACGGAATAGATCCACAGCCCCAGTTGGGGTCAGTCCCATAACTCAAACGTATTCCATACACAAGGCTAATTAGTTTGCATTAGGGCAGAAGTGTTCTTAAACAGAAACGTGAAACAGCTTCAGGGTCCCTTTTTGATTACGCAATAGCCACGTGAAACAATCTTTAAGGAGAAGCATTTCACTGCCCATACACCAACTGGGCTGTTTGCTCCAGACGTGAGGTTGAACACTGCCCTAGGAGAGAGGGGTTGTGTCCCTGCTGCACTGCATCTCCTGGTGCTGTTTTCAACAAGCCTCTGCATCAGCAGTAACACTTCACTCACCTTAAAACCATGAAATGGTTTGGGTTGGAAGGGACTTTAAAGATCATCCAGATCCATCCCTCCACCATGGGCAGGGACACCAACCACTAGAGCAGGCTGCTCAAAGAGCCCCATCCAACCTGGTCTTGAACACCTCCATTGATGGAGCATCCACAGCTTCCCTGGGCAACCTGCGCCAAGGTCTCACCACCCTCAGAGTGAAGAGCTCCTTCCTAATTTCTAATCTAAATTTCCCCTCTTGCAGTTTGAGGGGAAGAATACTTCTCTGCATGTGTAAAGAGCAGCAGCTAGAAGAGGGCTCCAGCCTCAAGTGAAGCCTCTAAATTGGATTTTGACGGCAGCCTGTCAGGTGAACAAAAATGATACACCAGGTAAGTCACAGGCTTGGGCTACAGAACTGGCACCAAGTGAAAGGCTGAGCTGAGTCCACCTCGGGGGCTGCTGTGCCACCCACAGTGACCAGAGGCGACACCACAACCTTTAACTGCAAAGCTATTTTAAAAAAATAATAAAATACACAGTGCTTCAATTCTGAGTTGGTTTTAGAAATCTGATTTTGACATAAAATTAGAAACGTTACATAACTCAGTAATTAAAGCACCGTTAGGAGAGATTGTTTACTTAAAATGACCCATTTGGGTGAAGAACACCCTGGATGTTCACTCTGACTGCACAGAGCATCCTCTGGACCAGTAAAAGGACAAACGGTGGTCTGGCTTTGTGGTTTATCCACTTATGAACATGTTTATGCTCCAAGATAAGTTTTCAAGGAGGATGAATTCTTTTGCTTCCGACCCAGCAGCGTGCACCACAGGGAGAGTGACACACTAAAAATGCAAAACATGACAAATTTTGTAAGCTACCACCAGTGCCCACCCAGCACCGAGCACAAGCTTCTCATGTCACAGGGAGAAAACAACATCTCTATAAGGGTAAAACAAACAGCAGTCAGGATTCCTGAAAGCATTCTTCCCAAATTATTGCAGTAGATTAGATTGCCTCATCACCAGGGCCAGAGGCCATTTACACTATTTTCTTTCCTGATTTTTTTTTTTTTTTGTAACAGATGAAAGGATCACAAAGTTTTCTAGGGCCAAATTTGGAATTAATGATGGGAAAATTCTTTTGCTAATCCTGCATCTCTCCCACTGCAAGTAGACTCCTGAGGCTGGAAAAAAACAATGTCTTCTGGTACCCTGCTTCTAACTGTGCTCATCAGTGCAAAATGCCACGCTCAGGAGGTTTGAAAAGGACTACTGGCTTTGAGAAGAACCATAAAATCTCAAGGACAGAGCTATATGAAAATCTGAGTAAAGAGCAACATGAGACTCCAATTAAAACTTGGATGTGCTGCAATGAAACCCAAGGATGAGGCTCATCTGCCCAGGGCAGATGTCTGCAGAACAGCCACCTCCATCCCAAGCCAGGTTTGGAAAAACCAGACTTTCCCAGGGTGCCCTGTGCCCTGCTGCAGAGTGGACATGCCAGGCACGCTGGAGGGATGTCACCTCAGCAACATCTGCTGGTGTCTGCTGACCATGGAGGAATTTGGGGGAGACTGGCCAAAAGATGGGTGCTGTAGGGCAGTAGAGCTGAGCAAGGCCAGCAGCACCCAGCCTTCCCACTGAGGAGGACCAAGCCTCATGGAGAGCCCAGCAGCCACCACAGCCATGCCTTTCTGCACAATGCCCTCTACAAACTTCAAACACTGCTCCTCATCACTGCCCCTCAGCCCACCAGTGAAGGAGAAAAACAGATACCACCAAGCAAGTACCCTTCTCAAAGCAAAGTTGAATCATTTGTCAGTCATTTAACAAACACAAAAGAATTTCCACCTACCGACTCCACTCCAGAAGTAAACTTTGCATAATTAATCGGGATGCCTCCAGTGCTTGGGAATCTGCAAATACACAGCTACACCAACTGGCATTCAAGGGAAAGTGCCTCAGGCCACCTCAAATTGCTAGGAAGTGCAAATATCTCAACTGAACAGAGCCTGAGCTGCCAGGGAAGGCAAAAAGCAGCTCTGAAGAACAAGCTGCCTGGAAAACAAGTACAGTTCTCCAGCTCCCTAAAGTCTGCTCCATTAACTATCACATGTGATCAGCTCCTCCTGAATTAAGCCATGTTTTATCACAACTCTAGAACAGGCTGAAGGCACCTAATTAGTTGCAGAAGGTGGGAATGTCGAAAGCAAGTCAGGGAAGTGGAAGTCGAGCTTCCCACAGAAACGGGCAATTTGATGGAAAATTTGACTCAAAAAGAAATACTGATGCAGCACTTAATGAAGATGCACTTCCCCTGCCTCCCCAGATCCAGACGATGCCATTATCACTCAGCACTAGGAACGAAAGAGATTCCAAGTCGGGGGGAAATTACAGAGCAGTTATCCTCATCAGCCTGACCGTGCAACGGTGACACGGGGCTGGCAGAGCGCCTGGGAAAAGTCTGTAGACAGTTAAGCACAGGGCATGAAATAAGATGTGCAAAGGGAAAGCAGCCCCTGGAAAATACCACTAGAGATTGCAGCTCTTCCAGTGTGCCAGTGGCATGGAAATGCCTGACCATATCCCCCCTGTACCAGTGAAAGAAGAAGGGATTGCCTGAAGTCAGAGAAAATTTGGGAGTTCCACTTGCCCAGCAGTGAAAAAGCCAAGTGCTGAGTGATCTGGTCCCCACCTGGACAAGTCAGACTATTTCCTACCTTTTCCAGGCTGCTAAAAGACCTACAAACACCACACTCAGCATGGCTGGTGGGTTTGATTTCTGCTGGTTTGAGGACAGTGAGAAGCAGAGGCAGATCCCCCCGGGCTGGCCCGCAGTCAGCACCAGCACACCCTCAGCAATTCCTCCTCTAAGCACTCAGGAGAGTTTCCACCTTTTGGGGAAGACTTGCCTGGAGCTCAAAAAAAGAGCTCACAGGAAAACATGAAGAATTTTGCTCTAGGCTTTGTAACTATCTGTAAAACAAACAAAACTGACACTGTTAGTAAAAAGGAGGGTTAAACACAGCCCCAGTTTCCCAGATGTTCCAAGGCTCTGCTGCTAGGAGAAGTCTGCCACGGTCACGCAGGAATCTGATGGTACAACGCCTGTTACCTTCAGGGTCCCAAGAACACAAGGATTTGGGGGACCTTTCCTTACCCCCAGCAGAGGGAAATGGGACACAGACTGTATATTTTCCTGATGAGAAACTAAGGTTTCACAGAGAATGACTAAACACACTCAGGCTTCCCACCTGTTTTCTATTTAGAGCAAAAAAGCAATTAATATGACTTTTTAAACAACAGTTAATAGAAGGATCTTATGAAACTGAGGTTTCTAATTGAAAATGTCTTTCCTCACATGAGGCAGAGGATCAAAATATGACAAGAGCACCGAGCACAGTTTCTCCCAGCTGCACAAACCATTTCTTAACCACCTTAAGATTAATAAACAAAGACATTCCCTATGTCTCCTGGATTTAGCCCTGTGTGCGAGGCTAACACAAGAGAGCCGTCCTCTCCCTCCACTCCTGGTTGGAGCAGAGCTCCCAAGAAGTATTCCACGTTAGGGGACTGGAATATGGGAACCCCTCGCTCTGAGCAGGCACAAGGGGAACAAATACAGGTCCAGGAAGAAGCTGATTGAAGCGTATCATTTATTAGCAAGTAAAAGGACATTTACCTTTTCGCTGGTTAAGTACAACACAAGACCAGGACAAACCATATGGCTCCAGCCTTTGTGCGAGGGCGAAAGCTGGCAGGGCTCCAAGGCTCTAATTGAACTATTACCATATCATAAGAAATGAAGAAGTCAGGAAGGCTGGAGGAGCTGCTCTCCAAGGGACAGTTTATGTCACGCCAACAATTAAGTGAGTAACAAAGCACTTTTAACAGGAGAGTAATTTCACCATTTGGATACAGGCTCATTTTAAAGAAAATAGGTACTCTTCTGTTTCAGTGTTGCACTTAATTTAATCCTGCATTCAATGCCACGAAACCTTCAAAATCCAAATCATCTGCAGAAAACGACACAATGCTTCTCCTTTAACGTCTGGCTCAAGACTTTTCTGTTTAGTTCATAAAGAAAGACACAGAATAAGAATGCTCAAGTGAAACCCAATAACAAAAGTTTACCACAAATCTACCATCAAACTGGAAAATGCAAGAGACCGAGTACAAAATCCATTCTGCACTTTGAGCAAATCATCATCAATCTCTCCTTCCAAAAGGCAGGCTGGATAAAAACACACCAAGTGTTACATGTGGCACACACAGGGCATGTAGTGAAACGACAAAACAACCAGGTCATAAACAGATGGACTCTGCAGAGGTTTTTTGTACATAAACCTTCACAGTGTCACCTTGTTACTTGGTGGGCAATAAGCAGAGCAGTTGCACGAGGAGTGAAAAGAAAAATAAATCAGTGTCTTACATAAAAATGAGGCAACATGAGTCTCTGTGAATCTTGTTCTTACCATTCTGTTCATCCAGCTCGTTCCCAATCTCCTGCCCCATTTGCTTTTGCCGGGAGATGATTGAAGAAAGAGCGTCAAGTCCAGCATCTTGTTCTGCAGTAGAAAAATATGTACAAACACAGTAAATAAAATTGCAGATATGCCAGCATAAAAGATGCAGGAGGGAAGAAAAAGCTGTTCTCTGTGCTTCCAGAGTCAAAACATATTAAGAAAAAGACAGCAATACAACATGAAAGTGAATCTTTATGGCAACAGCACTTATAAAATAAAGTGAATGATGAGTAATTAATTACTCTGTTCTGGTTGGGACATTTAGCTGGGGGTCCCCCCCAAAAGAATCCCAGGATTCACTGTTCAGCTGCTACTCAATCATAAAAGCAGGAGATTTTCTGGCACACACACAGAGATCCCTGATTAGTCTATTTCAAATATCCAAGAAACTTTTACATGAATAAAAGACAACCAGGTGATGCAAGCACCAAAGAATTCCAATAGACTTTTCAAGCTGCAAGAGGATATGGAGCAGATGGAAGAGCCTGAGACAGAGGGGACACAAGGGGCAGCTCCAGGGCAATGTGCTCCCAGCAGCTCTGCAGCCACTCTTTCATCAAGAGCCACATCAGCTCTGCTGCACCAGTTTGTAGGTACCACACAGTCCTCAGTGGGCACCTCCCCCAAAACCTGCAGCAATCCCTGCCCAAAGCTGTCAGGAAGCAGACCAGAGGAGGTGCTGGAGGCTGGACTGTCAGTGGTTGGACAAACTGGAAAGCAGTGATGTGGCAGGGAGCAGGACTGCCAGCCACTGTGGTCCAGCAGCCAGAAATGGTACAGGGTGGTCAAAGCCCCATCCCTTACAACAGGATGAAAGTCTGGCACTCAACACCTCTGTCAGCCTCCCCAAGAGACATCCATGGTGTCACCAAAAATTGGAGTTTGAGGTTTCTCCTGGACCATCTAACTAGAGTCCATGTCACTCTCCTGAACTGTAGCTATAACCATGTGTCCCACACACAGACTGAAGTGGGGCTGATCTGGACTCTGACATCTTTTGATCACTTCCAATACTTGAATCACAGAGGAACGACCTCATTAACCACCTAGATCCTCAGGCTGAGCTTCTCCAGCACTTCTAAAGTTAGAGATGCCTTACAGATGCTGAGGGCCAAAATCTAAATACCCTTTTTAGATTAGATCTAGTGAAGATGTGTCTGCCTGTGGTGGGGGTCGGAACCAGATGATCTTTAAGGTCCCCTCCATCCCAAACCATGCTATGATTAGTTAAGTCTTACCTTGTTCCAGCTCAACAGTACATCTAACACCCCCCAGCCTGAAGCACAGCAGCAATACCACTACAGTCAGGGCAACTAAGGAGATTCCCACTGCAAACCAAAACCATTCATGTGGTCAAAACCAAGGATGTCCTGTAAGGTCTTTGAAAATTTGATTTAAGAAGATGCTTCCCGTTAAGAACATTGCAAGCACAATACTGCTCCTGCAAACTGAGAAAACAACCTCCTGGAACCATGAGGCCTGATGTAGATGTGGTGCTGAGGGCCATGGTGTGGTGGTGACCTGGTAGTGCTGGGTTAAGGGCTGGACTCAGAACGATTCTGTGATCCTATGACATCTCCAGATGATAAAACTTCAGCACAAGTTATGGCCTTGATTGTCTAATGAGGGTTCCTCTCAGAGTCTTAGCAATGCTCTTAAAACCCAGACAGATTCTTGTACCTTCAATGATCCTTCGCTGCTGCTGCCTGAGGTCATCGAAGCCAAGCCCTCTGGTTTCCTCAGATTCTTCCAAGAGCCACGGGTTGGTTACACCTCGTTTGAACCCTCCCGACATTAGGCTAGATCTGAAAAGAATTTCAGTTAAGAATTTTCAAGACAAAAGCCACCCAGGGTAGGATCTGTGGTTGCAGGCTGGCTGCCAGGAGGACAGCAGCCTACTGCTGTACCCCGTGTCAGTCTCTGCAGTCACAGAAAGAATCAGACAAAAAGAACCTGACAACTTCCAACAACAAATAAATCATCTTGCAGGCTCCACAGCACTGCTTAGAAGAGGTGAAGTGGGGAGAGAAATAATTCTGCAGATACATGGTGACATGTAATGCATATATTGGATAATAAGTTCATATTAACTATTGTTTGCCAGTAGAACATACACAGAGCATTCAAAACTGTCACAGAAAGAACCAGGTTCCTGGGAACACACATATCCATGAATTTGCTGTGTGATCAAACACACACTCAGAAAAAAAACAAAGCAAAGCCTGAAAGCTTCCAACAGTAAACAGATCAACACATTAACACAGATGCAAATCAGATGAGACTATTAATTTTCTGCAATCCTAGACCTAAAAGAACCATCTCTGCCTTTCAAAACCTGGAACTGGAAGTCCCACAGTTACTCTCCTGCATTCCCTGCTCAGCATGGCCAAGAAGCCAGGCACACACACTCCTGAGAGACAGAAACCAAGTTCTGGGGTCTCTTTCACAAGAATTATAACACGGGGTTGTTCACCTTATAGACACTTCCCTGGTTACAATAGGTAACAAATTTTCATGTCCAGGGCACACAAATTCAAGTAGTAAAATGAAATGCTACTTAAAGATTTCTCTCAATACCAGATTTCTGGTTTCTGCCTTTCAGCTTTAAATTTGTTTCTAATTAAAAGCCGTGGAGATGTGGGACATGGGATGGTGGGGACCAGCAGAGCTGGACTAATGGCTGGACTTGATGATCTTAAGGGTCTCCTCCAAACAATATCATTCTGTGATTCCTACAAGAAACACATTATATGAGAACCTGAAATTGCAACTCAAATTTGGGGTAAGTCATCACAAGCTCAGTTCCTCAACAGCAGTAAAGAGCTAAGAGGTCTGGCTTTCTGGTTTGCTTTTTTTAACCTCTATTGTTTCCTTGGGGTTTTTTGTTATATTTGTTTTGCAATCGAGTCCAGGTCCCTTCTCTGTGAGGGATCCCAGCATGAAAGGGGTTGGAAGGGACCTCTGGAGATCATCTCATCCAACCCCCCTGCTCCAGCAGGTCACCCACAGCAGGGTGCCCAGGATCACATCCAGGCAGGTTTGGAATCTCTCCAGAGCACGAGACTCCACAGCCTCTCTGGGAAGCCTGCTTCAGGCTCTGGCACCCTTACTTCAAAAAAGTTTCTCCTCCTGTTCAGGTGGAACCTCCTGGGTTCCAGTTTGTGCCTGTTGCCCCTTGTCCTGTTGCTGGACACCACTGACAAGAGTCTGGCCCCAGCCTCTTGCTCGCCAGGGGCCCGTTGGCGGTTGATCAGCATTGATCAGATCCCCTCTGAAGCTTCTCTTCTCCAGGCTGACCAGCCTCAGGTATCTCAGCCATTCCTAGACACAGAAATGCTCCAGGCCCCCCAGCAGCTTTGCAGCCTCCACTGGACTCTCTCCAGTAGTTCCTTGTCCCTCTTGAACCAGGGAACCCAGAACTGGACACAACACTCCAGCTGTGGCCTCACCAGGGCAGGGCACTGGGGGAAGCGAAACTCCCTCGACCTGCTGGCCACACTCTTCCTCATGCACCCCAGGACACCATTGGCTTTCTTGACCACGAGACCACATCACTGGCTGATGATGAATTTGCCCTTCACCAGCACTCCCAGGTCCTTCTCTGCAGAGCTGCTTCCCAGCAGGTCACCCCTCAGCTGCAGAAGGGTTTTATTCTTCCCCTGTCTACTGAAAAACTGTCCATTACACTCAGCCATTCCAAATCATTTTGTGGTCAAAAGGCTTCACGTGAGACAGTTAGCTCTGCAGAAGTGCCAGAGGAGCCAGAAGGAGTCCACCCACCCTGCCAGCAAGGGGCTTGGCTCCTCAAGTTGTATTGCAAGGAGTTCAAGCAATATCCCGAACTTGTGCCTAGGAGCTCTTTGGGGAATTATGGTGAACTAGAGACATCTCCTGGCCGCGGGATGAATCAACACCTCTGGAAAACAATTCCTCCACACATGAGCTTTGGGCCATCCATAAATCCCAGGCAAAGGTGCCCTGGTCGGTCTGCAGTGCACTGCAGACCCCACACCATGGCCACAGCCAGGGACACCTCAGGACACTTACCCTCCCTGGGGAGTTTAACAGCTTCACTCCACATCAACTCAAAATACTGGATTTGCCAGAATCAAAAACAACACAGTTTTGGTACAAGATTGTACATCATGGGATCTGACTTCCCCATCCTGCAGATGCTGGCACACCAGCCCAGAGCAGGGCCCAGAGCCCAGCCCCCTGTGCCCACCACCAGCCACATCTGACAGAAAGGAGCTGGATCCTCCCTGCTCCAGTCCTCTGCACCTCCACAACTGACATGTCTTCATGGAGACAGGGAATCAGGCTTGGTTAGGCAAAGACACACCCACCTGAAAGACACCTTTTTACCCAGCTTTGTGCATTGCCTTGGGGGATTAAACACCTTAGTTGTATTTCTTAGGGTTAGACGCCAGATCTCAGCACTGGCAAAGCCACATCTCAAATCCTGGGGTCAGTTTTGGGCCCCTCCCTCCAAGAAGGACCTTGAGGGGCTGTAGCACAGCCAGAGAAGGGCAACAAAGCTGCTGGGGAAGGGTCTAGAGCCCAAGTGTGGGGAGGAGCAGCTGAGGGACCTGGGGGTGCTGAACCTGGAGCAAAGGAGGCTCAGGGGAGACCTTCTGGCTCTCCACAGCTCCCTGACAGGAGGCTGGAGCCAGGTGGGGGTCGGGCTCTGCTCCCAAGGAACAAGTGACAGGACAAGAGGAACTGGCCTCAAGTTGCTCCAGGGCAGGTTTAGGTTGGACCTGAGGAACAATTTCTTTCCCAAAAGGGGTTGTGGAGCCCTGTCCCAGGCAGTGGTGGAGTCCACATCCCTGGAGGGGTTTCCAAGACGTGGAGATGTGGTGTGAGGGACATGGGTCAGTGGGGACTTGGCAGTGCTGGGGGAATGGTTGCACTTGATCTTAAAGGCCTCTTCCAACCACAGCAATTCTACCATTCTGTTCTACCCCCACAATGACTTCTGCCACATTCACAGATGGAATTATTACAGTCCTGAAGATGCAAAGATCACCAGTGTCCCAGTTCAGCAGTTCAACTAGCAAGCACACAAAATCTGGGGTTAATAACAGCTGACAAAACTACTTCCCTAAAGCAAGGAGAACATGAAGTTCTCTGCTTGCTTAAAAGAACCTGACTCCTTCTGTTTAAAAAAAAAACAAAAAACAAGGCAAGCAAATTTGAAATAATTTGCACTTCTCCCTCTCTCCCTCCCCACTAATAACCTGCCCTGTTCTTGTAGGTTGGGTCAGGACAACTGGTCTGCTCGTTACAATAATCTTTTTGACATGTTTGGTAACTACCTTCCCACACAACACAGCACAACTTCCTCCTTCCTCTGATCTTGCCATGTTTCGCTTTGGTGGTGTGAAGATTAAAGCTTATCCAATTAGCCACCCACTGCCTCCGCCAAGTTAATCACCTAAATCTCTGAAAGCCTCACAGAGCAGTGGAGTGTGGGGATTGCTTTTGATTCTAGGAGCAGATTTAACTAATTACGAGGCTTAGCAATGTGCCCGAGTATAAAAGGTGATGGGGTTTAAAATCAGGGAGCTATGGCACTGCTGAACAAGGCAGGGCTTATCTTCCAGCAGCCATTGTTTCACTGGTAATTCTTAGAAAACTTCCCCAGTAACTTAGTCAACCAGCACTTACTTTAGACCAAGGCCACACACCTAGGCTTAGGGCTTTAGAAGACTGATCAGCAAGACTGAGTTTTAAACAAAACCTGGGTCATATGACAGTGGGTTGGATGATCACTTGAACATTCCCTTAATGACACAGTTCTGCAGTGGGGCTCTTTGAAGTGCCCAGGGCACCTCAGCTTGGCTCCACAGGTCAAGCCCGGAGGGATGGGCAAGAGGCTGGGGTATTCTCTCACTTACCATTCCTGACAGTGTATTTTAGGGAGCTCCAAGCCAGTAAATAAAACAAGTATCATTTTAACATACAAAGCAAAAGCTCTTTCCCCCAAAAAAAAAACAGGAGAAGTCTCATGAACACAAGCACCTCCAAATACCATCTAGGTACCTTCCCTGGTGGAGAAGTCCCCATGAGACTCGCTCAGAACAGGGCAGCATTCCCTGCAGCTGCCAGAAGACCTCCCCAGCTCCACCAGGACACAAGAGCAGCAGATCCCATGATCAGGGAAATGTCATGGTGCTCTTGACACCATTTACCTGTGGTTGGAGTAACTGGTCCCACTGGCTTCAATGCCTGGAAGCTGCACTGGGATACCAGGCAAATGATTTGCAGAACACAGCTACTCTGTGACATCTGCAGGACCACCAACTCCTGCCCACAACACTGACACTGGAGCCCCTCTCCTGCAAGGCTGGGCTGAGAGAGTTGGGGCTGTTCATCCTGGAGAAGAAGAGGCTCTGGGGAGACCTTCTGGTGGCCTTCTGGTATCTGAAAGGGGCCTACAATGAAGCTGGGAAGGGACTTTTTACAAGAGCTTGTAGTGATAAGGTGAAGGGGTAATGGCATCAAACTGGAAGAAGGGAGATTTAGATTAGAAATGAGGAAGAAGTTCTTCACTGTGAGGTTGGTGAGACACTGGCCCAGGCTGCCCATGGAAGCTGGGGATGCTCCATCACTGGAGCTGGGCCAGACCAGGCTGCACAGGGCCTTTTAGAACCAGCTCTAGTGGGAGGTGTCCCTGCCCATGGCAGAGTGGAAGGATCTGGATTATTTTTAAGGTCCCCTCCAATCCGAAGCATCCTGTGATTCTTCACCAGGGCAGCTCTGCACCACAGACCAGGTGGTTCCCAAGCACCCTGTGCACTTAGAGGGCAGCAGGTGCCACAGGGGAGCAGCACAAGCCAAGCAACAGGCTGGAAGTGTCTGCAGTGTCATCCTGGAGTAACGCGTCCACTCGAGACGTTGAGGGTCTGGGTGGTGGGGTCGTGGCAAGGAACTACACAGAGGACATGTCCCTAGCCCAGGGTCAGTGTCAAATCCTCACATGATCTCACAGCAGTCTCACTGTCCCATGTGCACCCTCAAAACACAAACTGCAATGAACATTTCCACCAAAGATCAACCTTGCTCTGAAGTATTATCATCTTCTGTCTACGCCATCCCTTGCGTGAGGCAAGGCTGGACATAGCACAACACTAAACAAGTTACACACCAGCTTATCTAGTCCTCATCGAAACCATCTCACCTCTAGAGCCCACCTGCACTAAGGCATGAGAGAATTAGAAGAATTCTTTGTAGATGTGTAGCTACATCCAGAGAAAAGACGAAGGAACAGAACTGCTCCTGTGAGACCATCTGTCCTGGTCACAAAACACTCAACAACCCCATCACCTGCCACTCACCCCTCTGGGCCCAAGATCACCCCCCTCAGTGCTGCTTTTGGGACAAGACAGCACCAAGTTCACACCGAGCCTTTGCTCTCTGCACAGTGGCCAAGTCCCCCTGACCACAAGCCCCTGGACCATGAGCCTCCAAGCATGTTCAGCTAGGTGTTCATCCTCCCTAGACTCAGCATGGCCAGGTCAGGCCACCACACTGATGCTGCTGGTACTGAAACAGCCCTGGGTAGGAAGGGTCAGGTAGTCTTGAGCAAACTCTCTGGCATGCTCTGAAAGAAGAGAGATACAAACTGTCTCTTGAACACAGACTCAAATGAGGAGACTTCATTATCCTACCAGAAGTCAGGTAAGAGGTTCACAATAGCACTTAAGCACCTCATGGTATGTTGACTAAAGTCAGGCACTCGATGCCCATTTGGCATTAGGCAAAGTGCCTGCTTGGATGAAGACCAAAATACCTTAGAGCTGACAGAAACATACTGAAACAACAACAAAAAAAATGGTAACACATGTTAAAGATAAAAACAATATGAACTCTTCTAAAATTTATCTAGGGCAGCTAGTAAGTAAAGTGCTTTGTGTCCCACAGCTATCAAAATATTCTCTACTTTTGAGAAGACAAGATAGACATGTCTATTTATTCACTAGTGATTGACACTTACTTCTACATACTGACTACCTGGTCAGACAGGAGGAGGAATATCCCCAATTCCTTTTGCCTCCTCAAATGTTTGAAGACTCACAAAAGTTTGCCCTGTGAATTCCAGGAAGTTACCATCTCTGGTTGCCTCTTCTACTCCTGCCTTTCAAACGGCGTGAAACCAGGAGGATTTCTGCCCCATTGAAGTCTCTGTTATAGCCACCCGCACAGGGTTTTTCCCAGGAGAAAAAAAAGGAGAGAAGATACTGAAATCAGCTATTGAAAAGCCATCAAAGAAAACGGAACAGCCCCTGCTCCAGCAGAGTCACGCCAACAGCACAACCTTGCCCCTGGAAAATTCCAGTTGCATCTTAATTAAGGGCGACAACGCCGGGAGGTAACGGAGGCTCCACCCGGGCCACGCAGCCTCCTGCCCTGTGCACTGGCCCAGGTTGTCAGTTAGGATAAATACTAAAAGCATTAAGGCCACTGTACTTCACCAGAAATAGCTTTACAGCAGTTTTCAAAGGATGTAAAACTCACTGAATGGTGACCGAATCTAAATGAAGATTAATTCTCGTGAAGCCCTCACAGTTACAGGCCATGGGGACAATAAACATGTGATCACTGGTGCAAGAAGGTTAATGAAAGGAATGACTGCTGGAAAGGAAAAGGCCTCTGAAAATGCGTGCTGTCACATCGGAGGTGGATTAGATACGGAAACCCACCACAAAACCAGAGAAAAGTGTCACTGCTAGAACTTCATCAAGCAACATGTGCTGATTTTTCTAATGCAGGGGGAAAAGCTGGCATTCAGACTCCAGACTGGTTTTGGCCACCCACTGAAATCCAAAGCAGGCTTTTCCAGAACTCTGCAACCATTTTAGAGGAGCCCAGTGCTGTAAAAAGCAGCTTAACCCTACGAGAAGCTGTTGTGCCCCATCCCTACGTGCAGCACAGCAGGCAGGGGAGGCACTTTCCCTCCCGACAGACCGACATGGGGGCCAGGGAGAGGCTGGACCTCCTGGCACAGGGTTCAGGCCCTGCCCCTGCCACTGAAAACAAGACCTACAAGGGAGACTATGGACAGGGTGTCAATTCACTAGGCAGAGAATAGCTGGCATAGTTTTATCCATTTTTAATTAAAGAACTTAAAAGAGAACCATAAAACTTCAAGCCTTGCAACACTAGCAAATAAATACTGCCTCTGATGTTAGCCTGTGCTGGAAAATACTGGTTCCCCTGATCATTTCTAACGGAGCCTGAAATGATCATGGGATTTTGACATTTTCCTCCCATCTGCCTCGGCACCTCTGTGCCAAAGCAGCTCTGGGTTGGATCCTGACCTCTGCCTCCTCCACAGCTGTAAGAAGCTGACACAGCCATGCTTCAGGAGGTCCACTCGGTTTATGGACTGCTCAGAGGTGACACCAAGAGTTCCTCTCACAACACCCATCCCCAAGGGCATTTCGCCTACTTGTTTCATGTGTTTCCTGTTGACTCGGCACTAGATGTAGAAGCCAGCATCACTGCATCAGCTGGATTTGCTCTGGAGAATGATAGAAGGGTTTGGGTTGAAAGGGACCTCAAAGATCATCCAGTTGCAGCCCCCCCTGCCATGGGCAGGGACATCTCTCACTAGAGTAGGTTGCTCAAAACCCTGTCCAACATGGCCTTGAGTACTTCTAGTACAGGCTGCCCAGAGAGGTTGTTGAGTCTTCTTTGGAGAGATTCCAAACCTGCCTGGACACCATCCTAGGCAACCTGCTGTGGATGACCTGCTGGAGAAGGGGGGATTGGACAAGATGTCCAAAGGTCACTTTCAGCTACCACCATGCTGGGATTCTGTGATAAGCACAGCACAACTTGCAGGCTATTAACCATAATTATTTTTCCTAGCTGTGAAGGATGTTAAAATGGAAATTAAAGCTCCTGAAGGTCCTCACCAGCTGCTACCCAACATGATTGCTGGGGATTGTTTGAAGCTTGAGTCCCGTCCTGACAGCTTTCTTTCCAACAATTCATGCAGGTCTGATATGGTGGCACCCATCAGTCCAACTCGGTGACTGACTCTGCTAGATCTCCAACTCTTCCAGGTAGTGATATCTTCCCATCCCCACACCCTCCCCAGCTCTGCAGACACATATTGCAATGTCACTAAAAAAACCCACAGGATTTGTAAGCCAAAGAAGGTGCAGTTTGCTACATGTAGAGGTAATTAGTTCAATGGATGCCTTTAACATTCTCCTCAGACAGTCCAAGCACAAGTGCCCTGGTTACTGGAGGTGACAGAGCCCTACCTTATCACGTCTGGCTCCGGACCTTCGTTCTGGTATGATGCCTGAAGCTGTCTGTGGCGTGTGAGGAGGTCATCCACCAAATTCTGCCTCCTGTCCCCCTCCAGCTGCGTGCTGATCATTCTTGGTTAAGGAGCAAACTTCAAGATGCTGGAAAAATTTAATTTGAGTATAGAAAATAAAACTAGTTATATATTCTTAAAATAAATCACATCTCCTAATCATGAAAACTAAAGTAACTTTTAGCTCAAGAAAAGGTTGTAAGACCTAAGAGAAGGATAGGTCACATTTTTCTGAATGAAACCTTTTGTTATTCTTTGCTTCAGACCTCAGAGAAACTTTTCACACAGCAACCACAGAGTGACCTCCAGGTCGTCACCTGCAAGTGACATCATAACTGGAAAGCTCTTCACTGCCAAATTAGCTTAAGTATTAAGAACAGGATTTCCCCTCTTCAAAATCCAACTTTGTTCTTCTTTCATTTATTACTAACAAGTCCCACACAGTTGATCTCTGCAACACTGACACCACACAGCAGTGCTGCCCAGGTTGTTTGGGGAAGGACAAATCTTCTCGAAGAGCTCCAGCTTACACTGTCACAACCCAGCCAGGGCAGGCCCAAAAAGAACAGAGCTTTTAACACCCCCAGGTACTTCATTTCTGGTTTCAGTGGGGGCTCCTAACACAAACCAGGTGAGCAGCTCCCAGCCAAGAGGTCAGTGAAGAAACAAGAATTTCCTTGGGGCCTGTGTTGCCATTTGCAGTTCACCAGCAGAACACCAACAGCCACTGACGCAGCACCTCTGCAAGACAAGACCCTGAAGCGCTGCAGCTTCAGCTGCGAACACGTTTGCTTTTTAAAATTTATCTTAGTGATACTTTGAAGGACTACCAACTCTCTTCCAGGTACTGTGCAGCAGAACACACAATAGCTGAATGGATTTGTGCCTGTCTTCTGCCACAGCAGCACTTGTCTGCTCTCAGGTTTTCACTGGACAGGGAGGTTTCACCCTGGCCATCAGCACAGCGCTGGGGACCAGGGCTCAGAAGGGATTTCTGCCACCAGACACGTGAATTAAACATTCATTAAATCAAATTAGGGCTGGATATCTCCAGGGGGAGAGATATACTTCCTTCACTCCCTAAGCCTGACTATCCCAGCCTATGGAAGGAGCAGCAGATCCAAGCCAGGCACCAGGGCAACACTTCTAGAACAAAACCTATGATTTCTTTCTAAGGCCTATTTTCAAGCGTTGTGACATCGCTCTGAAGATGCAGCTCCACTGTGCCCCCACAGCCAGCCCCGCTCAGGGTGGCCACATCCCTGCCCACCCTCTGCACAAGGCTGCATCACCCCTCCTTTGGGTGAGCACCGACGCTCCCGCAGCAGCCACAGAGCCAGGAGAGGACAACCTGGTGAGCTGTCTACTCCTGGCTCCCTGCTGGTGAGTGATCTCAGCTCACAAACCAGCGGCATCACTCAGGGCACAGGCAGGACAACAGCAGCTCTGACATTCCTCAGACCACCTTGCTGTGTCCAAGAGAAGCCTAAAAAACCCATCTCACACCCACCACGCATTACAACTGCACCGAACACACCCAGCAGCAGCACAGACAGAGCTCTGGTCACAAAGTCTTCTAAAAATGGAAGGAGGGAAACCCCCTAACTGCACGCAGAGAATCAGAGCCCATTTTCCTCCCTCTGCCACAACACAGGAAGGTCAGTGAGTTGGGGTGTGCAGGGATACATCTGGTGTGTTGACACGGCCCGCAGCAGTGAGTCCTTCAGCTGATCAATCTTCTCCCTGAGACCCTGCAGCGACGCCCGGATAATCACATTGAGCTGAAGGGGAAGAGAGAGATTTTTTGGTCTGAGTTAAATTTGCACAAAATTTAACACTACTACATGCAAGTGACAATATATCTAACTTCACTTACAAGCACGTGAAGAACTCTCCAAACCCAGCAAGCAAAGGGGACAATGCAGTTAACAGGACTGCCTACCAAATAATGAGAGAAATCATACTTGTTTGGCAAGTACAATTCTAATGCAGTACTGCTGTTTAATATGGACAGCTTGCTCTCAAGTCTTTCTTTTATATGGGCAAAACACTTCAGCACACTGTAATATTTTCCAGCGAGTTTTCCAGTTCTTTCCTCTGATATTTAATATAAATACAGGCACCAGCTTCTTCTGCCACCAGGTTCCTTCCCCAGCTCCCACAATTAGAGGGAAAGTTGCTGCAGGTTCAGACACCGCTCTCACTAAACACCTCCAGACTTCACACTAAAAATCCAAAAAAAATTCAGACTTCCTCCATTTCCATTCTCAGCAGCACCTCTGAGTCCCAACCCTTCCTCACAACCAACCTGCCCAGGATCCAGCTGTGTCTGCCCTTACTCAGAGCACAGTTAAATCATTCACATTCTCCCACAATGCAAGCAAGCCCAAAGCTTGTGGGAACCCTCCTCTTCCTCCTCTCTCCTCATACCTTCCCAAGCCATGCTGATAGTATCCTCAGGGTTTTTCCTCCTTTTAATATTCTTTTCATTCCAGTTATGTAGAAGACACTAAGAAAAAAAATCCTAACTGCGATTATCTAGGCAAGTCACCCTAATTAAGACTTCATTTGCTGCTTCTTTACAAGGCACCAGCCCCGCTGGGGGGTTTAATGGCTAGCGAGCTCAGACGCCCTGCGTGATGAACTCGTAACAGAGAGAAAATATTTGCTATGACCCTCACTCCTGTGTTCCTGGAGACACAGCAGCAGCAGCCAGAGAGCAGTGGCCGTGCCACGGGGGTCCTGCCTGCTGCCATCTGCACAGAGAAAGCCAAGCTGCTGCATCTCCTCTAGCTCTGCCACCAGGTGATAAAAGGTCTTTTCCTGTCACCCACACTCATCTCCAGGTGGAGAAGGCTGTGTTTAACTGACCCAGAACAGCAAAGTGACACATCTGAGGAAGTCACCTGGCACACAGACACCCTCTGCTCCTCCCGCCAGGAACTGCAGTGTCTAACAAAAGACTTCACTGCCATTAGTGAGAGAAGGCAAAAAAGAAACCACGGGAAGTTTTAAGATCAGCTCAATAGAGCAGAGTTCACAGATGACAAGCGCTGGCCTGAAATCTTCCCCTACAGGGCTTTGCTTTTTTTCTTCCATTTTAAATTTTACACTCTATTTTTTACTCAGCAACGAACAATGTTTATTTTTTTTCACCACGCTAATGGCAAAATACTATAAAAACAAAAACCTGTTGACATTCTCCCTACCAGGCAAATATTGCACAAAGGCTTTTTTCCTCTCCATTAAAACGCTCAGGAGTCACAGAACACATAGGAGTGCTCAGCCCTGCATTTCTCAACAGGCATCTCTGTTATGAAAACAACCCTCTCGTTGTTGGAAACTTGTTTGTAGTGCCATCAAACACTGCCAAACATTCATCTTTAACTGTTCACGGATTAAAGGGAAACGGCGCTTGGAAAACACAGGGCAATGGAACAAATGACTTGATGAAGAAATAAGCCAAGCGTGTAATGTTTCCACAAAACACAACTCAGGAGAGTCCCTGCACAGGAAAGACTCCGACCAACACCCGCACAACGTCTTGTTGGGGCCTTCTGGGGCACGTCACGGCTTGCAGTGATGCAGACAGAGAACTTTGTCCTCTATAAATACCAACTGATTAAGCAGCAGTCTTTTTATTAGTCTTCTCTTGCTTGAGTGTACCTGTACAATTTTGAATACTTTATCACCCTTACATTTGAATTTAATCCCCGCCTCTAAACACTCCCCTCAAGTCTACAGCCAGACGACATATTTCTTTCGAATCCCACTTATCTGAGCCTTCTGAAACCTCTTTTCAATTCCTGCCAAACTTGAGTCCCTCATTAAAAAGCCCTGGTTAGTGGGCAAAACCTACTCAGCTTTCTCCAGCACTTCTTCAAAGGCAACCTTTCAAAACTGACCTTGAATTTCACAAGCAAAGAGACTGGCAGACACGACACTGTGGTCGCACACCACATTACAACCCTGCTATGAAGAGGGGCTGGGTCTCCAAAATAAAACAGTGGGGGGTTAATTATGCAAATTATTACAAAAGCCTAACTCCAGGGCTTGCACGCCTCGTCGGCTCAGCACAGCAGGGGGAGAAGCTCAAGGCACAGCCCCTCGGGTGGCTATCCAGGGAGTTCTTGTGCTTCCCTGGGAGGACGAGGCTTTGAGTGCTAAGGAAAGCAGCCTCCTGAGAATCTCCTCCTTTCCTTTTCTTTCTTAAACAGGAAGTGTGAAATGGTGGAGAACAGGATAAGCCCTAACTTCTGCTTCTCGTCCATATGTAACACCACTCTTGTGTTAGAACTGGAGCTAAAAAGCCTACTGAATCCAGATCTGATCTACAGCTGCTACAGAGAGGGCGCAGGCCAGCCTGCTGGGACAAACCTCACTGTTTCCACAGGGAGGGGCAGACAAGCTGCCATGCAAGCTAACCTCCTTCAGCTCAGGGTCTCTGCAAACAGCCCTGGCAGCCCCCTCTGCTTCTCCTTCCTGCTGCAAAACCAGCATCATCACCTGCACCGGAGACTCACCCCTGTCAAAGCAAAGGCGATTTCTGTGACCCTGAGAAGCTGCCTTTAACATACAACTGGCATCCTCCTTTTCTTTATGGCAGTCTTGGAGAACACACCGTTA